TTCCTTTAAATGAGTGTGATTTATTTATTTATTTATTTATTTTGAATGAGAGACACTTACATGAGTACTGAATTCAGAGAATTTATTTCTGGTGCTATTTAGTACTCTTAGCAGAATCCCAAAATTTCTTGGTGTATAACCCCAAAATCAGAATTTTCTTTTTTGGTCCATTTGGTCCTTGTAAAGTTATTTCTTTTGTAAGCAAATTACTGTGATAGATGAAAAGCTGAAAGGTGGTGGGGGTCAATGCCAAAATTGAACCCTATTTTTAAATTATTTTTATTTGAAATTTAAAAACTATTTCCATCTTCATAATCTTAAGAGAATAGTCTCCCTTATCTCATTGGAGACTGATCACTCAGGATAAAAATTCATATATTTACCTGGTTATCTTTAGAAACTTGTGAATAAGCAGTGTAATCTGGATAGGATACTTAGACTGGGGGGTTACATTGGTGTTACACAGAATGATATATGGAGACATCTTGGGTCATTCGGTATTACTCTTTTAAATAAGCATTTTCTATTTTATAATTTTATATCTGTTTAGTAATGGAGCAGACTATCAACATGAATAACCCTACTTTTCCTCTGCTATGACAGACACTGTTTTGAATCTGGGCCTTCTGTTATTGGCACTGTATTTGTCTAGGATCCTTTGTCACATAGCAGTGGAATAAGCAGTCAAGGAGATGAAGTCCTTGTGAAGAAAATCCTGGAGAATACTGAGTGGAAGGAGAGATGTAGTTTTGGGGATGTAGTGTGGATAATTCACATTGTTAAATAATTTCTTAACAGATAATTGTAGGCAAGCCATCTCTGTTCTTGTTTCTATATTTATGTAAATGCTGATACAAGTAGTAGTTTTTTCCTACTGGTGTGATTACTTAAAGCTTTTAAAGATAGAAGTGAACTGTTACAAAGTAACTTGTGCTGTTGATTTAATTTCCTCTGATTTTTGTATACTGTTCTAACCTCCACTGATAAAGTTTAAAGAGCAAATCTGTTTCTGAATTCCTCTTTGTGCTAAGTATACTTCCTAAATGTTTGGAAGACAAAGATGAATAAAACACTGTTTTTTATTTTTTTTTTCCTTTAAGGAGTCACAAAGTAGTGAAGAAGGCAGATACACAAATACTGTTATATGAATAGGGAACGTATACATCCCACCTGATCTGAATTGCAAACCTTGAGGAGAGTTTGGGCAGAGAAGGGCCAATCTGAACAAACTTGTAGAAAAAGCATGATGGTGGGCTAGTAGCAAGCAGGTCTGTGTCGTGTTTGGGGATTTTATCAGATCCATCAAAATTTCATTAATACTACTTTGTAAAAATTCGTAGTTTTTATTACAGCTAGGTTAGCTGAACTTGATTTTATTCTGAGCCAGTGTTTTTTTTTTTTTAATAGATGAATACATCCTAATTTCTGTGGACTGTTTTATGACCTAATTATCTTTTTAAAATCTCCTGTACTTTATTTTTCCAAGTACTCATTTTGTGGCCAATTTGTTTATTGCTTTTTATATTCATGTTTGACTCTGAAGTGACATAAATTACTACATTTTTTCATTTTTTCTAGTTGAATGGTAAAGTACTTATATATTTTTAAAATGATATTATGTTTGATGCCCCATTAGTATAATTTAAGCTAGGTTTTGTTTTGTGTTACCACATGTAACGTTTTTGAAAGTTATGAAAAGATTAAAAAGTGTTAAATTGTGTGCTGATTGAATCCTTCTTTATACTTTTTTATATTTGAACTATTTTAAAATAAAAATAAGAAAGGCAAAAAAGATCAGAAGGTATAAATGAGAAAGACTGCAGGTGAAGATAAATTGTGAGAAGTTTTGATCTGAAAAATAGTTGGTGCTTTTTTTCTTATGAGTTATTATTTCCAGATTGATGGGCAGCAATGCAAAAATTAAAATAGAATTTAAGATTTCAAAAATATGCCAAAAAGTTGCTTTGAAACAAACTTTTGCCAGTTTTTAAAAATTAAGAAATAATTTTAAGAAAATAATGGTTATGTCATATCACAGAGAAGTTTTTATTATAAATACAAGTTGAGCATCCCTAATCCAAAAATCTGAAACCCAAAATGATCCAAAATCCAAAACTTTTTGGATACCATCATGATGCCAGACCTGACCTCATGTGACAGGTCATAGTCAAAACAGGTACACTAAAATTTTTGAATGAAATTACCTTCAGCCTTTGTATATAATGCATATATGAAACATAAATTGTGTTTAGATTTGTGTACTGTCCCCAAGATACCTCATTATGAGTATGTGAATATTCTGAAATTCCCAAATAATCTGTAACCAAAACTGATCTCCCATATTTTGGATAAGGGATACTCATCCTGTTACAGAAGAAAAATGATACTTAAGTGGTGTTCTTTCCAGTTTTACTTACAGATTAACTTTGGTGATGCTGTTTCAAACTGGTAATTTTAAAGAACAGAAATAATTGAATTTGCTTTAGAATGACCTAGAGGAGTGAGAGGTATGCACCTGTATCAGTGTATCAGACATTTATTTTTCTTCAGATGACCAGTGGTGCGAACAAAATTCCATTAACTCAACTATGTGTCTTTGACCCTCAGAGAGGGCACAGTCTCATGAAAATGTATTTATATTTTTGAAATTTACTATTTTTTCCTGAATGCCCTTTAAAATATCATCTAGTATAATTCATAAGTATCTTTGTATAAATGGTCCCTAAATATGATTAAGGAATTGTGAAACAACTTTAATAGTTTAATGAGTACTAGAATAAAAATAAAAGAATCATGTAGTCTTAGCCTCCAACAAACTGTGTGACCTTGTAATAGCAAATGAATTATGTAATCCTAGTGGACCCTCTGTGTTTTCACCTCTAAAATATAAAGATTTTATTTGGTGAATTCTGAGGACTCTTAGAAGGTGTGATGAATGTCTGGCCCACAGGCTGTAGAAGGCCTGCAAAATCATTTGGCCTGGTTCTGCCAAGGCAGCCATAGGGGGGACCTTATCTGTAGCAGGCTGATTTTTAAGTTGATAATTTTGTATTGGCCTATGAATGATGCTGTGCATTCCCAAATGGCCCTTGAAAGAAAAAAGGTTCTCTATCCCTGTATGGTCAGAAACCTTACCACAGGATCAATAATTAAAATATTTTACGTGTACCACTGTATTTTGAGTATTTGACTTAAAACAGCTTAAAACCAGAATCAACCCTTCATTTTAATATCCCTTCCTTTGTAGAAGTCAAAGCTTATGTCTGTCTACTTAATAGCAAAACAACTGGATTTAAAAAATCAATTTTATTTGACAAGTAGCTGGTTTTTTGGTTATTATGTAAATTTGTCAAGTGATTATAGTAAGTAAAAAACCCAAAGTGTTATAAAAAAATAATTAAAAGGTTAGAAACTAGTTTTTTTAAAAAATAAGAGGATTGGGAAAATAATGTGTATTAATACATTATGAGGTTAGTATTCTCTCTTTATATTTATTGTTAAAGTGATTATTATGATTTTTTAATTTACTTTATTCATCTATTTAACCTTGATAATTCTTTACCTTTTAAGTTCTTAGTATCTTTGATTAATATAATCCTAAAATATAGGATTAGAGTATACATTAGTTTTAGCAGTAGTTACTGCTGTGTTAAGCAATTTAATATCTAAAGTTTTAAATTATTATAAATTTTAAAGTATTTAAAAAATTTTCCACATATCAAATACCATGATAAAATTTCTGGGTATGTTCCATTCTTTAATGTCTACAGCAGTTCATAAGTAAGCCACATGGTGTCGCCTAAATATATTGTTAAAATGAACTTCAAAAGGAATTTCAGTGTTCCATTGATTTTTACCTCCTTTAGAGCTTACTTAATATTACTGTTTTCGTTTAGAATCAGGAAAATATGTGTGAGGAGCTATGCTTAGTCTTCTTCAGTCTGTCATACCTCTGTCTCTTCTCTAATAGTTAGTAGATAGTAATTGTTTATGTAGTAGCAATATAAATTAGTGAAAGTTCTAGTGAATGAAGACAGAAGATGTTTTAGAATAGTGGTTCATTATGATAAATTTGTTCTTTTAATTACTTTAAAATTATTCATCAGTTGCCTCTAGACTTTTAAATGTAGTATTTGCCCTTCCTGGTTAATATCTCCTATAGCATCAGTCCTAGATCAGTTTGTCCTCCCCCAGAGCAGTGCACCCTGTGTTCAAGAACTGGTAGTACCATAGCTACAAGAATGTTACACGCCCCTGTGGGGATTTAAAACAGAAAACATTGAACTCCTTGGTCTCCCTGATGGATTAGAAGTTTTAAATCACCAGAATATTAATAAATTTCTGGATTTTCTTATTCCTTAAAGTGATGACATTTTATTAATACTGTATTAATTATTTGTGGGTCATGACTTGTCTGATTGCAGGAGTCATTTGCACTATAACATGGATTTTTATATACACAGTAGTTAATGTTTTAAGAAAATAATATGATTGGGTAACTAAATAAGTTTAGTTCATTGCTGCATTTCTTTGATTCAGTAAATAGTCTTTTTACTATACTGTTAGTATGATTTCTGCTATAATTCTATCACCTTAAGAAGCATATGGAATATACTCATTATTAGAAACATTAATCTATTGTAATTGTACTATCTACTAATATGCTGAATGTATCCTGGGGTCACTTTTTGGTTGTGTGGTTTAAACTGTATCACATGAATTCTGTACACAAATTAATTCAAGAGATTGACACTTGAATAAATAAAAAATGTAAATTATGATGTAGAACTTTAGCTTCTTTTATAAAATAGTTACCTATGGTGATCTTTACTTCACATTTCCTGTTTATTTTGGTTTTCCTTCAGTTTTGTTTTCTAAGGATATTATTGATAGAAATGCTTTTCTTGTTGCCTTTTGTTTTTAAGTCCTATTTTGTGTGTGGATTTTATTTAAGACTGCAAGCCATTAACTTAATTTTTTTCTTGTTAACTTTGTTTCAGCAATCTATGTTCCAGTCTGCTTATTAACTGGCCAGATAACAGGGTAAATGAGTATCTATAAACTTTGCAGCATGTGTGCCATATATATGCAGTTGGCTTTTTTCCCCTTCTGCTGCTCTGTCAGTTTTTGGTCAAAGAGTGACAGAATCTGTAGATATGGATTTATGAAAATATTGACTTGTTTAGGGCAAAGAATTTATAAGTTCCAGGTGAACCATTATGAATCTTTGGAAGGCAGGTTTAAAAACGCATTCTGCACCATAAGGGTATAGTTTTCAACAAAGGCAAAAAAAAAATTAAGCAAACAATGTTTATTAATTTAAGGGAGTCTCTCACCTATGTTTTATGTCTACATGTGTTACATTGAGAGGTAAATCCTTTAAGGGATTTGTTAGTATGAAATTTAGATATCAGGTATAGTGTTTATTTATTTGAAAGGCAGAATGACAGAGGAGGGAGAGGGGAAGGGGAAGAGAGAAAGAGTTTTCATCCCTTGGTTCACTTCGCAAATGGCCACGATGGGCAGGGCTGGTCCAGGCTGAAGCCAGAAACTCTGTCCAGGTCTCCACATGGCTGGTAGTGTATCAAGCACGTGGGCCATATTCTGCTGCTTTCCCAGGTGCATTAGCAATGAGCTGGATTGGAAGCGGGAACTCGGACTGATGTTCTGATGTGGTATGCTGGCATTACAGGCTGCAGCTTAACTCTCTGTGCCACAGTGCCTTCCCCTTTATCTGAATTTTTATGTAAGGTTTATTTTCGTATTTCCAGTTCTTTTAATTTGAAATTCTATGTTATGAATTTTCTATGACAAGAAAAATTTCTATAGTCAACTCCCAATATTTATATTTATATATGTGACATGAATACACTGACACTAAATAATCAAAATATAATTGGCTTATTTAATTATATTTACTTATGTGTACTGAGATAAATATTTGTCACTTAAATATGTACAGGAAATTTACATAAGTTCCAAATTCCTGTTATAAATCTTAGGAAATGATGGAAAGATGTTCAGTTTCCCCTCAGCCCGGTTTATTATTGAGGAGATAAGGCATGCATGGTCTGATACTGATGTAGTGCACTGACCAAAACAGAATGTGAACCTGTCTTCTGTCTCTCTTCTGTTCTTTTACGTGATGATGGATAGGTTTTCCACTTTCACCTCTGTCTCATTCCACACAAGTTTTGAGGTGGCTTATTAAAAACAAGGAAAACCAAAATGGATGCAGTTTTTAAGTTGAAGGAATTCAAGCAATGGAAAATTATCATTACGAAAATAACTCCAAGTACATCAGAACATTATATTGTTTAGCAATATATAAATATGTACTAAAACCATAAAGAAAAGCAAGGGAATAATTAAAAATTAGGATTGTATTTACCTTGAGGGTTAGAAAGAGAAATTTGAAAGAATGCAAAGGGATTTCTAAGGTTTTGATAAATTTCTGTTTCTAAACCTGGATAGTGATTCCATGTTTTTAATTTTTAAATTGTGTAATCTGTACACCTGTTTGTATATTTTTATTAAAAGTAAACTGGGAAAGAAGCCAGCCAGCCAAGAGGAAGAATTTGTAAATGTCATTCTACTCTAGAGATTTCACAAATTAATATAATTCAAGTCAAAATAGGAAAGTTCTTTAGTATTCAGGCTAAATAATTTCATTTGCTTTTGGGTACCCAGTTCAAGTAAACCTTGGCAACTTGGGAGGGCCTGGAAATTCAAAATGTGAAGAGGGGGAAGGAGCACCTGAAATGCTAGGATCTGCGACACATGTAATTACTACCTGTAGGGGGAAAGTGATTGCTGTCTTAAGCTGTTTGAAAAGCTCGCACATGAAAGACTTTGATGCTTTAGAAAATGGAATTAAATCATTAGAAAGTTTTGGAAAGGTAGATTATGACTTAATATAAATAAGCCAGAGCTATCTAAACCTTTGAAATTCTAATAACTCTGTATCTCAGTTCTAAAAAAGAGTCAAATGTACCTTTACTGTTCTAATATTTATTTTAAGCTTGTTTATATTTGTTAAATAAATGTATGGGAGAAGGAAAGAGGCTTTACTGGAATGTTCTAAGGGGAATTACCTTCCTTTAACTTTCCTTGCCATCTTTGAAGCCCTCTGAAAAATTTGCTCGTTGCAAACTGTGATATATGAAAGTTTGATTTGGACAAGTCCGATTCTTCTCTTTTATTATCATCTGTTCCTAAGGGCTTTCCATTCTCATTTTCTGTTTATTGATTGGCAGTTGATTGGTTGTTAATCTTGGTAAAAATACATTCATTCAACAAATACTTACTGAACCAATATGCTTTTTATAAAGTCCCAAAGATCCCTAAAGTGAATTAGACACTGTTGCTGCCTTTGAACAGCTTACTCCTGTTGAAGGAGGCTGCTATCCAGTTAATAGTTCTGATAAATGCTCTGGAGAGTAGAGAGTATTATGAGAACATAAGATTGGATGATCTGCCCTAATCTGAGGTGAGAGAGCAGGAAAATGGGACATTGTGTTTTAGAAGGGATTTCAGTAAGAGGAAATATAATACCTTGAAGTTAAGATAGCATATAGGCACTGTAGAATAGAAGAGCATGACTTCTATTGCCATATTTCCTGGTCTCACAATTGAGGTTCATTACTTGAACTTCAGTTTCCTCCTCTGGGAGATAAATATTTTACCATCATTTCCATTTTACAGAGTATTGAATGAGTTAAAGTTGTAAAGGGCTCAGAACAGTGTCTTTTGTATGTTAAGTTTTGAAGGATGATAATTATTCACAAAACAAATGTAAGATACTAGAGTTTCCAATCATATATGGTAATTATTATTAATAATCATATGGTCCTCTGAGCACTTACTGTATGTTAGGTATTGTGCTAAGTGATTTTACATAACATGTTGATCTCACAATTCTTTCAGGTAGGTACTGTTTTCATGCTGACAGTGTCATACATTTTTTTAACACCACTGAGGAAACTGATACTTCAGAAGGTTAAGTAATTTGCTTGAGTTCCCAGTTAGCTGAGAGTCTGTGGTCTGAACTGCTGTTCTTGGTAACTTCAAAAGATTCCAATAAAAGACTGACCTTTGTTGAACATTTGGTAACAGGCTATGGCCATATGGATATTACTGGCAAGTTACTCTGCTGAAAAATAAATTATGATGAAATGGGCTTGTGGCACATGCTTTCCCTCCTTTTCAGAGTCAGTTTTGTCTCTGAATCCTATTTGGCCATACATCAGACCTGTCACTCCAGTGTAGTATGGGTGTGGAACATCTGGCTGAATCTTAATGAGATCATTCTAAGAAAGAACTTGAGAACATATCTTTTTTTATATAAGGTAGCTTTGGAATTTTTAAGTCTACTCTAGGATAAACATTACCAACAGAAGGCATAATATGTGAAGGAGGTAGTGAGATGTGGTTTTCTGTGCATCCAGAGGCTAGACAATTTTAGACAGGCAAGGTTTGTTTATAAAGGTTCAACATCCCTTATCCTAAAATCCAGATTGCTCTAAAATCCAGAACTTCTTGAGTGCTGACCTGACACTGAGAATTTTGGGTTTTGAATTTTCAGTTAGCGATATCTAACTGGTAGAATCTTACATACAACTTTGCAAAATCTGAACCACTTCTGGCCCCAGACATTACACGTATTATTCAACCTATGTCTATTACTTGATCCTATTACTACTCCCACTTTACTCTGATTATGTTCAGAACATCTCAATACATAGTTCAGCCACACACATATATACATATATATCAGACTAGGTGCTTTCTCATTGTTATTTCCATGCTCAGGAACCTAGAATTAGAACCAAGAAATTACTGAAAGCACATTTTCCAGTTCAGAATGCTGGGTCATTTGGCTGTGAATGAATCCTGTTTTGATCATCTGAACTTGTCATACTCACTGGTGGTAGGCTCTTCCTAAGTGCTGCCCACTCTGCTTAGAATATTTTCTTTGCCCTCATCTGTGTCTTCTGCTAAGCTTTTATTGGACATAGTAACCCAAATCACTGTTCTTTGTAATATTATTCAGTAGCTTAATGGTTTTAAATCACTCAATTTTCTGTAATACAATTTTTGATCCATCAGGATTTATAAAGCTAAAGGTCTTTGTACCTGTATAGATGACTGTTACTTGTTAAACCCTGTGTTACATAGATATTCACTGTCTCCTTTGGCACTCTGCATGTGTGCTTTTCCGATAAAGTGATCCATGTGCTGTAAGGTTGTGTTAACTTTTCTTTTCTTTTATTGAAATATCTGAGAGGATTTTCTTTTTTTTTTTAAGAGTTGAATGGTAAGTTTATTCTGGTTCAAAACAATTTTAAAATCCATATACAGGGTTTTTTTTGTTTTTTAGTAAAATGTAATACTTTTTTTTTAACTTTTATTTAGTAAATATAAATTTCCAAAGTACAGTTTATGGATTACAATGGCTTCCCTCCCACTCGCACCCCTCCCATCTCCCGCTCCCTCTCCCATTCCATTCACATCAAGATTCATTTTCAATTATCTTTATATACACAAGATCGATTTAGTATATATTAAGTAAAGATTTCATCAGTTTGCACCCACACAGAAACACAAAGTGTAAAATACTGTTTCAGTACTAGTTATAGCATTACTTCACATTGGACAACACATTAAGGACAGATGCCACATGAGAAGTAAGTACACAGTGACTCCTGTTGTTGACTTAACAATTTGACACTCTTGTTTATGGCATCAGTAATCTCCTTACGCTCTAGTCATGAGTTGCCAAGGCTATGGAAGCCTTTTGAGTTTGCCAACTTCGATCTTATTTACACAAGGCCATTTTCATGAAATCAGAGTTTGAAAACAACAGAAACCCTTGAAATATGCATTGAAGCCTATGGATTATTTTATGTTGGATATGCATTATTATGTGTATAATTTGTATAATGGGGGATAGGAGATTAAGATTACAGTAGTTTTCTTTTAAGTCAACTGATAAAACTTATGTTTCTTATTGGTATTAAAATGTGTAGAAAATAATCATGTTA